TGTTTTTTGAACATTAAAGCATGTCAACATATTCTGTTACACCAAATACACAAAATAATGATCTTTAAAAAAGCATCTTATGACCCTCTTAATATTTTCAAGAAACGGCTGAAAACACATCTCTTTCATCTTCATTTGACCCTCTAACTCTAGCACTCTCTATTCTATTTCTATTCAAACTACTTGTTTTATTTATAAAGAAAAAAAGCCTCTAACACTAGCATTCTCTATTCTTTCTCTATTCTTTCCACTTATTTTCTTTTTATTTATTATAAATAATGACCTTCTAACACTAGCATTATCTGTTTTTTTCTGTTCTATTGAATTGTTTTATTTTTATTTAAAAATGACCCTCTAACACTAGCATTCCCTATTCTTTTTCTATTCTTCCTACGTGTTTTATTTTTATTTATTATAAAAGCAAAAGCAAAAAAAAAAACCTTGGTATGTATACTGTTAGGTGAAGCCCCGTCCACGAACCCCGCCAATCCATCATTTTTTGGGGATTTTTTATTTTTTTTTAATAAGTATCGGTTCAGGCACTGTTTAGGCACCGGAACCATTTTAAAAGTAACGATTTGGCACCGGTATCGAAAAAAAAAAAAAAAACGATACCCAACCCTAATTATAGTTTATATTAATATTTTAAGTTAGCTTTTGTTTATATATTAATTTTTTCCATTTAAATTTGAGTTATTATTATTTTTTTAGTAATTTTGTTGTCATTTTTATTATTTTTTGTTTTGAAGTTTGTTTTTAAATATTATTATTTAGGTTTATGTTTATTTTGGTGTCAGTTTTAGTTTTTATTTATCAAGTTAGTAATTTTAGTGCTTTAACAAAGTTGCCAAGGAAGCAATTCTTTCTTTCTTCAAATACTTATGAATTATTATGCTTATGAATTATGCTATATTATTACCAAATACTGGATTCAATATTTTTTATCAACTTGTTTTCTTTCAGTTAGCACACTTTTGTATTTCTGTTTGAAACTGATTGATCATATGACTCACTGATCTGAGATTATGCATCTCAGTTTTTAAGTGAACATGACAAAATTATCCACAAATAATGCCTTTTTCATTTAAAAACTGAGGTGCATAAGCTGAGATCAATGAAGCCTGCGACCAGTCTGTTCCAAAAATAATTTCAAAACCTGTGCTAATTGAAAGAAAGAAGCAAGTTGACAAAAAGATTGAATCCAAGATTTGGTGATAATATAGCATAATGAGAGATTTACAAGCAGTTTTAGAAGGCTGCACATTTTTGATCAGGAACACCAAATAAGGTAAAGGATTTTCAGCACAGCACAAGGATTGATACAAAATACATTTAAAAACGATGAGTTTGAGTGCTGCCTATGCAGACAGTCGTCTAAAGCATATGATGAGAATGGACACTTGATCAGCCCATTACAGGCAGTTAGAAAGAGGCATATCCTGTGAAAACAGACATTCAAAGCTGTGCAGACAACATATGACAACATTTGACATCCACTATGCAGCCCTGTATATGCTGAATGTAAAGAGATTGAGGGATGCTTATGTAACTGTGCATTAAGCATGCAATATACCCTCACAAAAATGCAGCAGGGGTCTGGATTGAGTGTTTATATAGAGTTGATAGGGGGAAGTTTTTCTTTAGGCTTCCCTGATGTCGTTTTCTACACTTTTACACAAATACCCTTCACACAAATACAGACCGTCCCCTGGAGAGGCAGGACGAGGCAACCTCAAAGAGACCTGTCACCAGCAGCCCGCAGCCTCTATTTTTAGCTCTGAGCCTCTGGTTGTTCACGAATCAGGCCTTAATTCCCTAAATATTCCTGTCGTTGGATCTCTCTGTGCGGCAGGCCGGATATGTTAAGCCCTTAGGAAGCCCTGCTTCATGTCAGCAATGAGTTTTATTAATAACAGTCTAAGTTGAAGTCATTTTCAGATAAGGATGTAATTAGCCCCTGTGTGTTTGTTTGTGCAAATGGCTTTGTCTTTTGAAGGCAGCCAAAGATGGCAGATGAAGTGAGATAAATGTTGACTATAAATCAGTATCAATGCAAAAGTTTAACCAGATTATAATTATTTAAACTATTTTAGCCAATGCGTTATGTGCTAGGTGTTTTTATGCTTATTAGAGTATCTCTGGTTCTGACGGTGGTCTTTGAGAAAGATCTGGTGAAGGGTGGGACAGCAGAACTCTATCTGCATTGGGACTGAAGATGCATATTTTTGGAGCTGATAAGGCATCTGTCTTCAAAGCTTCTTCTGTACTATAAACATGCTGTGATGAGCTTTGCTATGGTACAGTGCCTACAATCCCATCAACAGAAGGCCAAAAATATATATATTTTTTTAAAACCACTTTGAGGATACAGGATTATGCATGATCCTTTGTGCCATGAGTATATATATATATATATATGTGTGTATGTGTATATGTATGTGTGTATGTGTATGTATGTGTGTATATATATATATATATATATATATATGTATGTATATATATTTGGAGATCTTAACACTACAAAATTTTTTATTTTATTTTAGTAATATATATGCATTATATACACACTGCTGTTCAAAAGATTGGGATCAGTAAGATTTTTAATGTTTTAAAGAAGTCTCTTCTGTTCATCAAGGCTGCATTTATTTGACCAAAAATACAGAAAAAAACAGTAATATTGTAAAATACTATTACCATTTAAAATAATGGTTTTCTATTTTAATATACTTTAAAATATAATTTATTTCTATGATGCAAAGCTGAATTTCCATCAGCCATTACTCCAGTCTAAAGTGTCACATGATCCTT